ACAGCACGTGCACAGGTCAGGACATTCATGCAGTAAAAATAAACGTTTGTGTGCAGACTGGGGTAGACGTGGCTAAACTTCTCTCACACAAGAAAAAACTGGAAGCAAAGAGACTCAGAAAAGAAAAGAAAGCTGCAAAGAAAGCAAAGAAAGAGGCCAAGAAAAGAGCTAAAGAAGCTGTTAAAGCTGCTAAGGTTTGCTTTTGAAGACACTGTGTGTATGCATGGAAATAAGTGAGAAAATAAGTGTTTGTGTTTTCTGACTGAGTCAGCGGTCTCTGCTTTTAACCAGGGGGAGGAACCACAATTTTCAGACACAGATGAAAGTGGGGAAGAAGCAGAGGCAAATGGGGATGTGCATAAGTTATCAGTCAAAGAACCAAAGGATGTGGCTGCTGTGGAGGCGGGGCCTGACCCTGACACTGACACCCCGCTGCCACGGGCAATCATTCTTGACCTGAGCCCTGTCAACTTCCTGGATACAGTTGGCGTGAAGACTCTACGCAATGTGAGACGCAATCCGTACTGTACATTAGTGACTTATTAAATATGTACCATGTTTTAACCTTGTTAAACCCTTTGTTTAATGGCAGATCTATAAAGATTATGGAGAGGCTGGTGTACAGGTGTACTTATGTGACTGCCAGAGTAAGTGACCAATACAAACCAGTAGTTTCAAAAGGGTGTTTTTGCAGTGATTCTAGTATAGAAGAACCATTCTGGGTTCCCTAAAGAATCTCTCTATGAACAGTTCTTAAAAGAACCTTTATTTCTTCATGTGAAAAACATTTTAATGATCTAAAAAAACTTTTTTTTTGTAATGTAATGGAAAGGTTGCATGAATGTTAAAGATTCTTCATGGAACCATCGATGCCAAAAAATAACCTTTATTTTTAAGAGTGTATTCTTCCATGTCACATGTTCCTTTTGTTGTCTAGAATGATGACATCTGGAATCCCATTTGAGCGTGCAGTCAAGACGGACCTGTTTGACATCATTATTTGTAATCTCTCAATCTTTCAGGAGGTGTTGTAGAGAGTATGGAGAAGGGCGATTTCTTCAACGAGAAAGTAACTAAATCGATTCTCTTCTCATCGGTACATGATGCTGTTCTTTACTGTCAACAAGGAAACAGTAAGGAGGTACAGTACATTGTTATGTCATATACACATACACGCATATCAGAGGTTTCCTAATCTTAATTAGACATGTGTTGAGTGTTGGTGGCCCAGACAGTATTTCGAAACAAACATGCATGAATAAACCTCATTTCTTGCCTTTCTACTTTTACAGGTTATGCAGGGAACACATTTGTAAATCCAAACACCAAATGTGATACAGAACGCAGAGCTGGATTGTTATTTATTATGTATTTCATCATGGGGAAGAATAAGTTAAGGAGGTGTTTTGATGAATAATTTAGTTTTTGTTTGTTTGTTTAAATAATAAACAGAGACTCTTTTGAATGTGAAATATCTGAAAATGGATCTGCCATAGAATGTTATTGTGTAAGACAAGTAAACTGTAAATCTTTTTTTTTTTTTTTTCCACTTAGCTGTGAAACATCTAAGAAACAGGTTATTCCAGATTGTTACACTGTAGCGTTCCGGGTACATAATGAATATTACACATGAATATAAACTCATTCTTCACAATATAATCAGATTCTTGGAAAGTTCCCATTTTAGCAATATACAATACTGTTCAAAAGCTTGGGGTCAGTATTTAATTGATCAAAAGTGTCAGTAAAGACATTTAAAATGTTACAAAAGATTTCTATCAAATAAAAGCTGTTGTTTTGAAATTTCTATTCTTCAAAGACTCTTAAAAAATATGTATCATGGTTTCTACAAAATATTAAGCTGCACAACTTTTTTTAAACATGAATAATATGTTTTTTTAGCATCAAATCAACATATTAGAATGATTTCTGAAGGATTATATGACACTGAAGACTGGAGTAATGGTTGATGAGAAGTCAGCTTTGCATAACATTAATAAATTAATTGGAATTATTTTGGGGGGGTGGAAACAGTTATTAACAATTTTACTGTATTTGTCATCAAAAAATGCAATTGGCAAACATAAGAGACTTCTTTCAAAAACATGAAAAAAATCTTTGCGACCCCAAACTTTTAAATGGTAGTGTAATTACCATTAAAAAAATAAAAATCAGTTTATGTATTTTACTATGTATAAGCTATGTATGCTGTTTGTTAACTTTATATGCTTGTGTATTTAGAATAATTCTAACTTAAATAAACAGTCATTTTCTTATTCTTGTGGTGGAATTGTTAGTAAATTATTTGACATGCTAGATTAACAGTTATCTGTCAAAATATTCAACCCTGAAAAAAACAGGTTTGGAGTTCTCATATTGCTCTTTGTATATGTTCAGTCTGAAGTGCTAAGCATCTTAGTGATGTTTAAAGGGGTCATATGATGTTGCTAAAAAGAACATTGTTTTGTGTATTTGGTGTTATGAAATGTGTTTATGCGGTTTAAGGTTCAAAAAACACATTATTTTCCACATACTGTACATTATTGTTGCTCCTCTATGCCCCACCTTTCTGAAACACGTCAATTTTTACAAACTCATCATTCTGAAAAGCGAGGTGTGCTCTGATTGGCCAGCTATCCAGTGCGTTGTGATTGGCCGAATACCTCAAGCGTGTGATGGAAATGTTATGCCCCTTACCATGCTGTGATGCCCTGTCCAGCGACGAGACAAAAATATTAAAACCTATTATAAACGAGGCATTTGTTGCATCCAGTGGGGACATAATTACGGATTATAATGACTTATACTGTCTTTTTACG